GATGATCACTGCGATGGACGATTCATTGTATACAGGCCCATTACCGAACTCGAGGCCACTCAGCAAGTCGGTAAGGAGAGTAGAGTTGGCGTCGTGAAGGTCTCTGCAGTTGAACTTGTCGTCATTGTAAGCTCTCGAAGTCTCGGCAGGGCAGTTGGAAGTCGTAGTAGACCAAGCCGAACGGGACGTGGATGTAGGTCTTGCCGAAGGTGTTGTCTGAATAGACATCTGTGTCCTCTCAGGTTGATCCGACTTTGGTTTCTCGGCTTCCGGTTCCTCAAACGTCTGTTGCGAGACGACAATTGTTTGGCCTGCAGCGATGGCAACCGTTTGTCCACCCATTGTTATGAAACCTCCTCCAGCACCGCCCACGACCACCATCCCAACGGCGACGGCAAGCACAGCACCGTTCGAAACGTCGACTGGAGCTGCTGTGGGCGAGGTCGTTGACTTGGGAATTGTGGAACTAAAAGGCGCTTCCAACGAAGAGCTGCTGGGTTTGTAGCTGCCGGGCTTATAGTTGGTAGATGAGGAATGAAGCGAGGAGAATGACGCTATCTTCGTAGAAGACGGTCTTCTTGTAGAGGTGGATCTCAAAGAGGTAAATGTTGAGTTCAACACAGGTCGCCAGGTTGGGACTTGCGAACGAATCGGGGCTTGTCGTTTGTGATTAGGATTACTGCAGCTGTCGGAAGATGCTGGTTCGCCAGCATTTGGGAACGCTAGAACGTCGATGGTGAATAAAGCAAAATTCTGAGCGTTTCTTATCTTGTCGGCGTCAGATAGACGAGCACAGCTGCCGGAAAGTTAGCTATACATCGACAGATCTTCAATGGAACATGGGTGATTGGAGACCCATAAACATACCAACTGGGGGAATAGCAGGTGTCATGGCCGAATACGTCGGGAAATGGCTCTGACAAGTCCTCAGCAGGCTCGCTGGGGCTCGTTCCTTTGGCCATGTGCTGGACTTCGTGAACTAAGATGCGACCTTTGGAGTTGCCGGATCCAAAGCCGAGCGTCCTCTGCCATTCCTTGATCATCTCTGCGTTGTTGTTTTTTAATTCGAAAAAAGCTGGGCAGAGGACAAGCACCAAGGGGCCGAATTCTTTGGTTGTACCGTCTTGTTTCATCCCTGTTGCTCGCAAGTTGGACGCTAGCACTCCATCTTGGCACATTCTATCGCCGACTGGCGGGCAACCGTACACGATTGAGTCGTCCGTCGGCGGTGCCTCGTTGAGGGGCGCTTTAAACTCGGCGTGGGTAGTCCATCGAAATGCCGCAGGGATGTTTGGATACGGAAGGTGCGACAACACTGTTTTGTAGTGCTGATTGATGATTGTATCCTTGGTTGTCGGGTTGGCATTACCTGCGCGAGATTGTGATTAGTTTATGGTGCTTCTAAGATGATTCGCGCCCAGAAGCAGATCTACATACTCGATCCGAACCAGGTATCAAATGAAATGGATGTCTCAGCGCCCTCGACTTGGAGCACTTCTATGGTTTTCTGGGCGAGCTCTTCCGCCTCGTTAATGGCTGCATCGAGAAGTCGAAGCTGGGTAAAATCGCACTTCCAGGATCCCTGCACAACATAATAGGCGTTGTCATAGGTGTTGGTGCTGTCGCGTTGTGCCAGTTCCCCGTCATTGGTGTTGATGACTGCTGCTGCGCCGGAATACAGTCTGCAGGTGAGAAGCAAGCCCCAGAGAAGATTCAAACGCGAGTTCGAAGATGCAGAGCTCATGTTTAACGTATACAGAGCGTGAACATGCGTGTAATGAGCATTTAATGAGTCTGATAGTGAAGAATGGAACAACGCGCGATGCAAAATCTGGGAACGGACAGTGTCTAATGATATTCTGCAGTTGTCATGTCGATGCCTGGCCCCGACAGTCCCCCCGAAGGATCCGACGGATACCATTCGCCTCAAAAGACGACTCGTGTATACAGGTAGATGAAGTCAAGTAGATTGTGAGGCCGCATTTAGGAGCAGGGATGATTGACTCGATAGCGTATCCATAGTGTGCGATGGAGTTGTGAATACTCCATATCAATTAGCACCGCGCACGGTGGTCTTGAAATCCCCTCTCTTTTAGGCTCCTAGCCAGTTTCGGTAATTACTGCGCACTATTAAGGATCATACTTTCTAGCATCTTGTGACAGGCAATAGGAAAAGGTTTGAAATCCTAGATTAAGGTGGGCAGCAAGTGAGCAGGAAGTGAGGTGAGCTGATGATGTGGTTTCTTCTCGCAATGGCCGGCTCCATACTGCTCCACCTTCGAGATTCTAAGGCCCGGCGACTAATTTCGTGTTTAACGCCGCGTTTGCGAGTTTCTTGAGCTCTAAGAGTAAAAACGGCCCACAAATCAGCCATCCATCTGAAAATGAGTCGTCGCACCGCCTATCGGTCTGTCTCGTCCGTTTTGACAGTCCCATCGGTTCAGAGAAATTTGGGAGGATATTTGACCCAACCTGGCGAGTATTAGATGAATATACGGGTTTACTGTGATGCAGTTACCTAAATAAAAAGGACTCCCTCAACGGATTGTAGCTGGGTAGAAATCATTCAGCACACTAAGGCATACTGAATATATAGGGTATTGTCCGAAACGTTTTCGTGTAGGGAAGACAGCGATCTGTTGGTGATTCGTTTCCAAATATTTACAAAGCTAGTTCGTCTATCCGAAGGTGTCAACATCGGTACGAGCATCTTTAGGCAACCTCTAGAACTACTCACCTCGTGTCTTTCAGATGCCAGAAACAGAATGGTGGAGGACCTTTCTCGGGGGTTATCACCACGATACACCCGACTTCCTCACACAGAATGGCACGACAAAGTTACTTTTCAAGACATGGCACAACCTACGGCATCATTAAAGGATGGGTATTCGAAGTTTCGTGTTTCCCTGCTAGCACGTCTTGAAAAATGGCCTCGATTTTCATACCTCTTGAATGACACTTGTTGCATCGACAAGTCAAGCAACACGGAGCTTTCAGAAACCATCAACGCAATTGTTCGCTTTCACAAAAGAGCGTTTATTTGATGAGACTTTCTAGCAGATGTGCGGAACGACAAAAGGTTGTCTGAAGAGCTGGTTCTCGCTCGAATATGGACGCTTCAGTAATTGCTGAGTCCTATGAATCTCAGATTTCCCTCGGACACCTGGCAGCGTCTCGGCACGAAGCTGAGCTGAGCAAGATTATCAGCCATATCTCCGGCATCAACGACACCTTTTGTGGAGTGCACTCATTATCTTTGGCTTTCATCACTATTCGGATGTCGTTGGCTGCACCAAGGGAGAAGACAAGAACAAGAGTCTGATGTACTGCTTGTTGGGAACATCCGGCGTTCACATACCTCTTCTATACGGAGCAGGCGGCGGATAAAATGGCATTGTACATCTGCAAGAGAAACTAGTTCGAACCAACGACGACCAAACTATTAATTCAGATATGTACAGCCTTCCCTGCCTCGCCTACCCTCCAATCGATACCATGGGATGGCATAGTGTCATTATTCCCGACTAAATTCAGCTAGTTTCTCATTTTGTTCGTGACCATTGCGAAGACTCGTATGGGAACCTCTTGTTGTGTTCGGTGATGAGAACCGCATCAGGCGGACTTCCGCTCTTCTTGATTGTCGCAGACCGACCGATTGTGGGGACATTTTTTTCGTTCCTGTGGTCACAGGTGACAACAAATGCATGAGGGCAGATCCCTTAATAGTCGTCTTCCATCGAATTAAAGCTACCTCCCGATCTGTTGTCTTTACGCTGCACCTGGAGACATGACAGACCCAAAGGTCCCTACTCAAAGCCTGCTTTAGCTCAGCCTACGTCAATGATTATCTTGAGATCAACACTTCCCCGTTACAGAATACGCAACGTCATGCCAAACACGAAATGGGCGGCTTGGTCTTGACCCAACACAGGTGGACGTCTACTTAAGGTTCTTTGAACTGTTTTGCGAGCAAGGCCTAGTAAAGGCCTTGTTCCTATGAGACATACTTCTGCGTTGATCATTAATCCCGCGCTTTTTCAACTATGCAGCAAAACTTTTGTCTTTTGCAATGCTTTTCTGAGCGAATGCCGCGCTATGGGTAGTCACCTTCTTAGTCGAAGGTTCTGTTGGTCATGTTCTCTATAAATAAGTAGCCATTTCCGTTAATGAGAATGACAACAATCCTATAGCGGTGAGATTCTCAGAGAAACAAATGAACGGTAGGCCCAATGAGAGAAAACTATTGTATTCAAATTTGGAAGTAACTGATATACGTCAGCTTCCACTGCGGATACGCTGGTGCCCCGCCCCCTTCTAATGAATGAACAGGCCTCTGAACCTTTTGCTCTCATCATAATATTAGCCTGGCATACCAAAAGTCTCTGCCGGGTATTTTCCCTTTGAGGGCCCGTATCAAAGAGTCGGCCTTCGCCATCCGAGTCTGCTAAGAAGGACGAAGAGTTTTAGATCTTCTCACTATTCAGCCAGCCGTAAATACTCGTCATTTCACAATCACGAAGAAGCTATCAACGCTGGCAGACAGACCAACTTTCAGTTGCGAAGTAATTCTAACCTATGGTTACCATAAATGGTACTGAACTATCGCTAATAAAGTCATGGAAAGAGGCGTGTAGAATATTAATAGCGAAATCTTTTACGCTTACTCGGCCAAGCGGTTAATCTGTGAGCTCTTGGACAATGTATCGAATCAGTCAGCCCTAAGAACCGCGACAGACCATGCAGGTAGGAGGAAACCGAAGCTGTCATCTGACGACTCAATATGGGAGACCACTGGGGGCAAGATAGGAGCTGAATCGTAAGTGTTGGCACTATCGGGGTTGTCGTGACCCAGGATTGACAGTGTCGCGGACTTCTTTCCTGCGATCTTTATATCTAGTTGTTGTGGCTCACCAGCGTAATTGGCAAGCTTAACAACGAAGCTCTCCCCAGCGCTTACAGCACTCCAAAAAACTGGATCGAATCCAGTATCAGAGGTGATCTCATGTGTCATAGTTCCAGAGTTTTGCGCGAAGAGCTGCTGTACCCAGTAGCTGGAGGTGTAAACAACGGCGTCAGGAGCTTGTTTGAACGGAATCAAATTGGGCTGAATGAGATTAAGAATGTCAATCAAACGTCGCGCTTTTCAAGTATTGGATCGTGGAAAACTTACAGCCCATTGCTGATGATCGACAAGACTGATCAAGGGTGCGAACGCCACACCCCGGATGAGGTCACTGTTGCGTTCTAGTCCAAGCATGAAGATGGCCTCGGAAACTGAACCCTTCATATCTGACCACTGGACCCCCCAGCGGCCCATTTCTCCGATAATGTATTTATTCCTGCGGGAGACATTGTCCCACTGGGCGAAGTTGACGATGTAGTTCTCAGGGACATTGTATTCGTGGTAGTCGATCCAAGCATCTTCAGGAAACGGATTGGGTAAGCAATTGAACCCAGTTGCCGAAGCAATAAGTTGGAGCTCCGGGTACGCTGGACGAATGGCGTTATAGAAGGCAGCAAATCTTTCAGGGTAGCTACTGCAGCCAAAGTCATCTTCGTTTCCGATTTCAACCCATTTGACGGGCCAAGGCTGCTCACGCCCGTTCTTGGCTCGCAGCGCTCCTATTGGAGTCGATGGTTCGCCAAGAACATACTTCGCAAAAGAAGCAACATTAGATCAAGGCAACTGATACATGCTGTGGTCTTCAGGACTTACTTCGAGCTCGCGCAGAACTTCGTCAACAAATGGTCGTAGATCCTCGCCAGTGATATGAGTGCCGTCAAGTGAGTACCCTGAGTAGACATCTAGAAATGGCTCGAGATGCATGTCATCACACCATTCAAAGTACTCATGAAGACCTGGGAGAGGTTAGTGACAACGTTTCGATTGCGAAATGGAGAGACGTAGTCCTTACCTAGAGCATCTGTGTTGGGATATCCCCAGGCCCCTGTGATGTGTTAGTTGATCTCACCCACTTCTGTGCATCCTTTATGAAATACCTTGGTGGCCGGGGCGGGAAATTAGAGCACCAATCGTCTCATTCCACTTCCATCGATTCTCGACATTGGGTCCTTCTCTTGGAGTAGTCAGATATTTTTGTTTTACTGGAAATTCGGTGACTTGAAACCTACAGGTTATTGCCGCCCGGGAACCTGAGAAACTTTCCACCGATGTTGTCCACTGCCTCAGCCAGAGATGGCTTCAATCCATTATAACTAAATGTCAAAAGTTAGATGTCTATCCAAGAGGGAATAATGACCACATACCGATTGTGGAAGGTGGTTGGGTAGAGCTGCGGAAGCGCGAACCACATTGAGGATCCGGCTACAAGGTCTGCATCGAATGTCATTCTGTATTCGATATCCGTCAACGATGAGAAGGTCGTGAGTGGCCGTTGATGAAACTCGGTGAATCTATCAGCCATGGTATCGACATAGAAGGTGGCGTTTCCAAAAATCTCCTTTGTAGAAACGCTTTGTAGAACCCAGGTCATTTGGCCCTGGTAGTTACCACGGATAAAGATGTTATGCGAGTGAGGGCTACCATCAACCGGTATACCCCAATAACCCTCGTTGGAGAATCCAACTTGGCCAGAGGCGCCATTTTCGACACTGACTTTCAGTGAATTGGGGAGGGCGTCAGAAAGCGGAACTGAGGAGTCGACCTCTAAGATTGCTCCCGACTTGGCCGAGTAGGCCGCTAGACCGGGGTTATCACCCTGAAAGCCATTGTTTCGAATGAGCTGTCCATGAATCCCACCATCCCCGGAGTAGTTGATATCCTAGCACATGGTATTCTTTAGCAATGGAAAGCCAAAGTAAACTTAGACCTTGATACCTACCTCGAACATGACTCCCCACATAGTGGTAGAGGTTTCATTTCCGGGCTCTTGTGATACAATCAAGCTAATAGCACCACAGTTGGCTGCAAAGAAAACCCAAAGTCCAACGACGGCAGTTCGAAGCGTAGAAGAAATCATGATGTGATAGGGTAAGGAGATTGTATCAAGTGGGATTTGAAGCTCAATTGATTGTTGAAATCCTGAAGACATTGGGGATGTGAAGATATTTTGTACTACTGAGGGATAGTTAGGATGGTATACTAGGTAGGTTACTTAAGCTCCAATCAGATGTGGGCGCTTGTCGCCTGAATGGTGATCGCCCATATATCCCACCGGGCGCCTTGAAGTTACCAATTGAACATAGTTTCGTTCTTGGCCATAGACCGGAGAATTTGGGGATTGGGCAGGCTGTCGCACGTTGCGCCTCTCGGTGTCGCAATAATCTTGTGACGCGCCGAGGTCGTTCCCACGAAGTCGCTACAACACACAAGATATGAAAACATCTGTTTAGACTAGGTAGCCTTCGGCCCAATACTCTTCAAGTCCTCCTCCAAGCTTGGATCTTCATTGTCTCCCGCTGCGCCAACACCACGCGCCTGTTCTTCTCTTCTTACTCACAGGTTCTCTCGAGTTTCGGCCACGATATAACTTACTACTCAAGCTGAGAGGGCTGCTTGGGCGAATTAACACATCAGTTTCGGTAAGAGGCGTGAAGACGATACTAAAATCCTACTAAGCAAGGATGAAAGACAACGCCCGTATCATTTCAAGGTCAATGAGTGCATCAGTTGTGCGGGCTTTGACACCTATCAGTCTTTTTACTTGGCCATGCTGAAGCCGTCGCCTTGGCAGGCCAACAGGATCAGAACAGGCGGGTCTGTTTTGGGACCTGTCGGAGACAAAATCCGAATCATTGTGGTCGGGAGAGTCTAGATACAACATTACCAAAAGGCTTGTCCTAATTTCCCCTCGGTCATCCTGACCCTCCCTGATTCCAACGCCCCTCGGCATATACCATGTTTCAAACAGTGGTCACGTTCGAGAAACAATCGTTGGATAACTGCTTAACATTGTTGAGACTTATGTATCATGAGAGCAGTTTTTAACAGCAGATTATTCTCTGAATAAAATGTCTTCATACTACATCTGGGATAAGATCGAAACATAAGGGGAAGATAAAAATATGTTTGACACCTGCCGCGCCATGTTTTCATTGCACATTATGCGCGTGCTGAGGATATCTCAAATTCCGAGCCAAAGCTGCAGCGTTTTCGACTTTTTCACTGAGTGAGCCAAGGGTTGGGATATCCCGGGTCTGTGATGTTGACCCCAATGATCGGGCTCAGCCAGCTGTCATAGTCAGTCGAGCTGTTCATGTTACCCCCCCATTTCAATGCCCGGACCAGAATGCGATAGTCAGCATTCGGCAACTGGTAAATAGTTCCGTTGGCTAATTCAACAACTCCCCATGACCAATCAGTGCTATAAACACTGTAGCCTCGGAAGTTGGTAGCGACTGTTCCATGAGGCACATCGCCACCCCACAACAGGCCAACGAGGCCATAACTCTTCAACCCTGCCACATGGTCGAGGGTTTCCAAGTCCAGGGGAGGAGTAGTGACAGTCATGTTAGTGAATACGGTAGCGTTCATCTGGGGTCCCGGGAGGTAGCCAAATGTTGACGGCGTGAAGTTGTAAGCGGAGTTGGACGCGATGTCGGCAGGTACTGCGTCAAAGCGGACATACGCCGATGGTTGGTCAATGAAAATTGTGAGAACTGGGTCGTTGTCAGGAATCTGTGTTTGGTTCTCGGCAACCTTCTTGGCGGGGAACGTGAAAACCGTCTTGTCGTTGTTGCGAATTCCCGCGTCAGAAGAACTGATAAACGGCAGTAAAGGAACGCCGGAAGGAGGCGCTGGGGAGACATCAAGATTCTTCAAGTCTCCTGTGTAGATATTGGAGAGTTCGCCACGGGCATACGGGATTCCAAGATAAGGGATAGAAAAGTCCTCCTCTCCCTCGGTGATGGTGATGAGACCACTGTAGGTCGGCAGGAGGGAAGCGTCAACAATGGGAGGGGTGATCGTGAATTCTACAGTCGCCTTGCCGCCAGCTGGGATCGTAAGAGAGCTTGTTGGGAATGACACTTCCGAGTAAACAGGATTGAAGTTGAGCGCCCAGTAGAACATATCGTTGATGTCAAGACTGTTGCCATTTGGTAGTCCGTTGACCTCCGCTGCAGGCTTGTGACCCAACGTGTAGGTCTTGGGGGAAGATGACAAGTTCTCGATTGTGAAATTCCGATCAAGGGGGCCGGCTGAGTCGCGTAGGTTGAACTCAGTTGCAGAGAAAACGGTTTCCGATGTGACTGCTCTCAGGACGTTGACTAATCCCGAGCCTTGTTGAGCGGTAGTCGTAAGAATGTCGGTCGCGTTGTATTGCTTCAGAGGAGTTGCCGACGATTGCAAACGTCTTGCGATCTCCTTCGGGCTCAGATTAGGAAATTTCTGCTTGACAAGAGCGTAGCAACCCGCAAGGCTATAAAATGTCAGCTCGAGGCCACCTTCGCTTTGGAAACACGACTTACTGAGGAGTGGCCATCGATGTGCCAGAGATAACCGCATATCCCCATCCGTTGGATGTAACCCACGTGCTGAGAATAGTGCCTCCAGGCGCAGATACCTGAGGCTTGAGCGACATTTCCATGGTTGGCCCAAAGGTTGAGAACCATGAGGTAGTTCCTCCAGTTGGCTGATCAATTTGATGAACAGTTTGGTCTTCGAAAGTCAAGGTAAAGTTCTTGCCCTGTTTAGCAATACCGGCAAGAATTTTGCTTGCCGCAGACTTCTTGACCTTCACCGTATCGATGTCGCCATTCGCACCTGGCTCGTCGATGGACATGTCACTGGTATCGGGAAACCATGCCCAGACATTCGTGAAGCCAGAAGAGTTGCTCCGTTCATCAATGATACTGTAGTAACAGTCGCTTCTCGCGGTGACCAATGCAACCACACTATCCTTATCAGGGAAGCTGGCAATCGCGTCGTCCCATGCTTGGTCCACGCACTCTCCATTATCGTCGTCCGCGACGAAGACGTTGAAGTGTGCTGAGGCGTTGAGGGGAACAACACGACCGTACTCAATGGTGGAACCATCCGACCCGGCAGCGTTGTATACCGTAGCAAAGTGGAAGTCGCTTACGGAGCCGACTGAGATTGCATTGGGGTCTTGTGCTGGCGCCGAGGAAACGTAGAGGCCAGTGTCGCCCTCATTGCCGGCCGCAATGACGATTCCGATGCCCTGAGACTGGATCTTGGACAGAATCGGGATGTACGGTGAGCCTCCCTCCCAAATGGTCGTCTCACCAATTGACATGCTGATGAGGTCAACTCCGTCGCTAGCAGCTCTCTCAAAGCCTTGCATGAGAATATCGTCAGTGACACCTCCACTGCAGCCAAGAACGCGGTAGGCATAGAGAGATGCATCAGGTGCAACACCAGAGATGCCAAACCCGACGCCTTGAGGGTCCTTGGCAGCGAGGATTCCTGCGATAATGAGTTAGCGCAAGCTAGGGCGAGGTTTTGACTTCTCCTCAATATAACATACCAGCAACATGGGTACCGTGCCCGCCCTCCAAGCACGTAGTCAATGGGTCATTGTCCGGGACTGGATCATTCCAGCCCACAAAGTCATCACCCACAAAGTCATAGCCTCCCGCTACCTTGAAGCCTTCGCCGTAGCCACCGCCCAAGGCTGGGTGACGCCAATCAACACCAGTATCGAGGAAACCAATCTTGATGCCTTTTCCAGTCAGACCTTGGGCATGTACTTGGTCAGCGCCAGTCATTTTCAGACTGGAAAGGACGTCACTGGTGCCGTTGATGGTGACAACCTGTGCAGCGGCTCTGAGCTGGACGGACTGAACTCCGACGGGAACAGAGGGATTAGCAGTCTTTGATCCCCGGCTCGAACCCACTGGTTCAGGGCGGTCGTAATATCTGTTGGGCCAGACCTTCTTGACTTGGGGTAGAGCAAGCAAAGTGTCGACGTCGGTATCATCCTTTGCATTGATTGACAAGCCATAGAAGTAGTCCGGATTTTTGAACTCGTGACGAACAGAGTAATCCAGGACGTCTTCGGCTCGGCGGTGGAAGGCAGAGTGCGCATCTTCGCCAACCTCGCGGCCATTGATTGACGCATCTGGCTCGAGTTCGATGATGAAGCCAGCGTTGACTGGCGGCTTTGCCTTGACAGCGGCCCCGGGGCGAAACGCCGCCAGTACGGGCGTGATCAGGGCCGTGGCAGCTACAAGAGTAAAAGAATGGACCTTCATGACGAAGTGTTTAAATGAGTGAAGATGAAAGGAGTGTGATGGACGCCACGATGGCTAGATCTGTATGAGACTCGAGTTTGAAGAGTGCATTACGACACATTATAAGTACTGAGGGCGTTTATTGCTAGATAGGACCATATCTCGTGAGAATAAAGCATGATGAGTGTCGAAGACGTGCTTCACGATAAGGATTGCGATACGAACTGATCACCACTAACAGCACTTTCAGAAGTTCCTGTGTCCCAATTTCGAGATGCAGATAGCCACCACCCTAGGTAGTATTGAGAAGGTGTTGACTGTTCCCGATCTGTCGGCAATCTCTTCTATTTGAGGCTGGAAAGCTTGATTAGGCGTGCTGGTGTTACTGCAGCGTAGAGATCTTAGGGGTCGATTAACCCCTCCAATCGGCAATAAGCAACAATGTTCTCGTATGGTCGGGATATGAGAGGGGCCGGAGGGCGGAGGGTCCATCCTCGCATCCAAGCGCAGAATAGGAAGGTCGTGCTGTGGAGATTCGTGATCTAATTACAGGGAGTTGTTGCCAAACCTTATTGCGGATATCGCTGGATTCCTCGGCCTCCGGTATCGTCAAAAGGGCACTGTTTATTAGCAAATAAACGCATGCTGGGATACAAACTTGGCTTCAATTGCTCAAGGTGAGTGATTTGGTACAAAAAATTCTGTATCAAAGTTCAAGAACCCCTCTCACTCGAGATAGAATAGAGCTAGTCAAACAGCTTTGTCTTGGTCACGCATACGACTTGAGCTTAATATTTTAAATCCTGCCAAGTACAAATCCGCTCGGCTCACGTTGGAAAGCATTCGTCTATTGAATTGTAATCGTTTCTGGTCGGTTGGTATGAAGCTGGGTACAGACTGGAAATCAACCGGATGTTCACGAATGGGGGCGGAATCTTAACCCGTTCGATATCACAGCGCAAGGTTTAGCGGACTCTGGCACTAAACTTTGCGATGAGCGCTGGGACCATCAAATCAACCAATACTCCCAACGACTTGCACGGGCAGCCAGAGTTGAACATCGCGACGGTGGACTATCATGTATAGCATTGCAAGAAATGTCACCAAATTATCTTGCTATTGCTATGGGTGTTGTTCAACAAAGCATGTACAATAGGTATGCCTAAAGGCTCTAGACTGTCTACAGTGCGTACGGTCCAGCTGGTGCCACGTGGGGGCCGTCCAGCACGTGCCATCGCTGTTGCCTGTCGCGTGCTTACTATTCAATCCTCCGACTGTCGTAAGGTAGCCTCAGCCCATTTCGAATCAACGACAACAACTGCATATCCAATCCGCTCTCTCAAAATACGGTGTCCTACCTCGGGCAACTACGTGTAGGAGAGGCCAAATCTCTTCTGTTCAAGAGGTCACTCTATCATTGCACTTGATTACCGCCTGAACGCTACCTTCAGCCACCCTGGCTTGCGCAGATCCTCCTGACTCATGGCCAATTCTGCCCCTGTCGCACAACCTTTAGAGAAACGGTCACGGAGTGGGATCCGGCCAAAAAGGAGGCAGGTCGGCAGAGCGTGCGATGCCTGCCGTTTGCGTCGCATCAAATGCGACGATGCGTCTCCTTGTGCCAACTGCAGGGGTCGAGGCCAGCAGTGCAGCAATACGGAAGCAACCCGTACTTCGACTCTTTCTCAAGCCCATGAAGAGATAGATCGACTGAGGGTGAAAGTTTTGGACCTCGAACGAGAGCTTCAACGACACCGAGAGGCGCATACCAATTCTGAAACACCATTTTCAATGCATTCGCAACAATTAGTCGCCAACGTGGAAGCAACGGCAGCCAGTATCATCGAGGGCCACTTTGACACGCCAAAAAATAAGCCTTGGGACGGTGCTCTGCTTCGACCCGCACGATCACCTCATGTCGCATGGTTTGGACCTTCGTCTCTTTACTTCTTTATCCATCGCCTTGGCGTGTTCCTCAGTACCGATGTAGAGCATGCTCAGCCAGACCACATGCTTCTACGATCAACGGGCGGTAGCGCCGTGCCTGCCCAGGCAAGGACTACGTCAGAAGACGCATCTCATTTGCTCAGGCCACTTTTAAACGGCAATAAACCCGGGGTCTTTCTGAATCCAATTCAGGAAGAGTACTTCGTCAATCTTTTTTGGCAATCATACCACACTTCTTTGTACGCCATTATTGACGAGGCCGAGTTCAAAAAAGAGTATCAGGCACTCTATCTGGGCGTACCTTCTGGATATACTCGCAAGCCTTCAGCGTTAGTCGACATCGTTGTTGCCATGTGCATGCAGTACATGGCCTCAAGTCTACCGTCCAGCCATCAAGGAAACATTGTCGAAGGAAACGATGCTACGACTGCCGGCCGATGGCACTACCGAAGAGCACAGACTTTGCTAGCAGGGGAAATGGAAAGCCCTACTATCTCCACGCTACAGTGCCATCTTCTTTCAGCTGTCTATGTCTGTGGTGCGTCGTTCCATAATATGGCAGATAGCATTTGCGGTCAAGCTGTACGCATAGCCTATATGCTGGGTCTGCACATTGATCCTCCTCTTGATACGCCAGAGAAAGAACGTCAAGTAAGACGTCGACTTTGGTGGGCTGTCTATGTTTTGGACAGCAAAGTCGGGATGAAGCTGGGTCGCCCCTTCTTACTGCATGGTTCCTTTTCCATGCCGGCTTTCCCAGATGATCAGCTTGGTGCTTCCATGTTATCAGGGTCTACATTCGCTCCAATCTCAGGGGACGCTACCTGGCTGAGCTTTAGCCTCCATCACCTCAAGTTATTCAAAACAATGAGAGATGCTCATACTAAATTATACAGTCATGACTTTGGGCTTAGGCAACACAAAACCATGTGGGATGACCCAACATCCTTAGCCAAGGTAGCCGAAAGCCTGGAACCTCATACCGTCATGATAGAGAAATGGGTGCAAAATCTGCCTGGTGCGCTCAAAAACAGTCGAGTAAACAGTGGCTGCATTCTTTCAACTGACGGCTCGGCTCTCATTATTGAACAGTATGCCCCGCTCTGGCTACAAAGACAACGTCTTCTCCTGGAAATGGAATATCACCACATGTTTGTCAACCTTTACCGACCCTTTATTTCATTCAAAAGAGTTCCGGCGGCCGGAAGTTTAGTTGAGAAGCTCGCAGTGGAAAGCATCAATCATGCGATAGAGCTATCCAAGATTACCCAACAAGCGCTTTCGTCCACAGCTATTCTCGATGGGTGGCATGAAGCGTTCCAGTGGCAATGGAATTCTGCCATCACATTAGCAGGGTTCATTTTGGCCAATTCGCGTCACTCTGCAGTCGTAGCCGCAAGAAGTGCCCTGGATTTAGCGCTGTCGGTTTTTGGTACATTTGGCCAAAGTTTTGAGCTGGCTAAAAATGCTGAAACTGTTGTCCGGATGCTCTGTACGAAGATAGATGGCTTGCTATCGGCTTCTTCCCAGGACCATGGTCAGAAGGAGCTAGCTGAATTATCTATGCTACGTATCGACCAGGAAGTGGGGGTAGCCAATGGCTTTGCTTCTGAACCGGTCCATACATCAACATCTCCTGAGCTTATGACTGAATTTCCGGAATTCGATTTCACGGAAATGGCGGTTGGCGTGGATTTCTGGGCCAATATCGACATGCTGGGGGTCGGCGATATCAGCACATTTGGCGAGTCCTCTGTTTATTAGCAGGAATATTGATATCGCGTGGATTCCCACGCTTAGGGACACGTCCAATCAATTTGCAATGTGATCGTGAATGCAATTGCTCCAAGCAATAGTTACTCGTGGCATTTGTTTCCAAGCTCAAGGCGCGGCTAGTTGATCAAAGAATTGCCCAACAGTAGTGGCAAGCAACCGTGATGCACTCCACCAATCGGAGCATGTCCTGGCTCTGCTTACTTTTATCCTCTCCTGGCCACTAGGAGTTGCTCCTGCAACGCGAACCAACGGTCCAATCGAAACAACTCCTTTTGGCGAACGACTAAAAGATCCAGGTTCCTTCCAAAGACAATAGCATGAACTGGGCATAAATACTTTCGTTTGATCCAGCAACTCTACTTCTTGTAATATACCAAATCAGACTTCCATCGCAACTTGATACTCAGTGTCAAATCTCGATAAACATCAAGCTTCTTTATTGTCGCTCTTCGCCTAGCAAGAAACTTTGTTCCCAAAGCTACCATGTCTCTGCCGCGCCGAGCTCTTATCAGCATAACTTCTGCTCATGGCACCCTATTCGAGGGGAAGGAGACCACCGGCCTCTTTATCAGCGAAGCGCTGCATCCTTACAACGTTTTAAGGGCAGCTGGTTTTGAGGTGGATCTCGCTTCTGAAACGGGTACATATACCCCTGACTGGCTCTCAACACAGCCAGATTTCCTCAACGGCGAAGACCTGAACATTTGGAATGATACCAAGAGCGAATTCCGCACGAAGCTCGACAACATGCCGAAAGCCGCTGACCTCGATGGTAACGCATACGGGCTTTTCTACGCGTCTGCCGGCCATGCTGCCCTCATCGATTATCCCACGGCCTCTTCTCTTCAACGAATCGCAGCGCAAGTCTGGGCGAACGGAGGAGTGGTCTCTTCTGTCTGCCACGGGCCAGCACTTTTCGCCAATCTGATCGACCATAGCACCAATGAGCCCTTGATTAAAAATAAGAGAATTACCGGATTTACTACGGAAGCCGAATCTTCCATGGGGATCATGGATGAACTCAGGAGCTGGGGTGCCGAGATGGTGGAAGAGACTGCAACTAGACTAGGGGCGACATGTGAGCTTTTCTCTCTTTTCTCCCTTAATGACCCAGCCGTTGATTGGTGGGTGACTTCTTCGGATCTGACATTGGAAACAGATGTGCGTGCCCCCGGTATTTGGGACGACTTTCATGTAGTTGATGGTCGCCTGGTGACAGGCCAGAACCCAGCCAGTGCTACTTCCACTGCTCAAGCTGCCGTTCAGGCTTTCGACAGCGCTTGAAAGATGGTTGTGGG